CTCGACCAAGTCATGTTGAGATATTTTCAGTACAGCTGCAAGGAATTTTGATTGTAGACAGTGTTTCAGTGATGTTTAAGAGGTTGTTGGGTTTTGCTGTCGGTTCCTCAGGATCAAAGATGAAAAGCCATTTTTCACCTAACACAGACGAAGATACTGTACCAGTTCCTCTGAGACAAAATATAGCAGATGAACTAATATAATGATTTTTGAAGATACATCCAGTGCATCTTTTGCAGGTCTTAGTACCCCATAATCAAATAGTAGCCAGTCAGTTTTTTAATTTCTTAAGTAGATGTGAAAAATGTAAAAATACTTAGTTACAAATAAAACCCATGTGCTCAAAATGAGATTTTATTATATTTAGGATATAATAGAGCCACAATTTACAAAAAGTAAAAAAAAGAAATCATGAAAAATGTTCATAGTGTGAAATTACTGATGTATTAACCTGCAAGCAACTTTTATGTTGTTAGCTGTCCAGGTGGATAAAATAATATACTGTTCACTTGCTCTTCAATTAGTCAATTACTTGAGTAATCAATCAACAGAGAATTAAATGGTAACTATTTTGATATTGAATTGTAGAAACGTTCACAGGTTCCAGCTTCTCAAAGCTTCTTTTGGTTTTTGGACTGTTGATCAGACAAAACAAGACATTTTATTATTTCACTTTATGTTCTTGGCCAGTTTGATCAACATTTTTTACTATATTTCTATGTTACTATTTTCTGACATAGACAAAGCGATTCATCAAAAAAGTAATCATCGGATTAATCAATCGTTAGTTGTAACTCTAATTACATTACATGTATTACAGTAAAAACAAAATTGTAAATGAGTGTTACAGTGCTCTAATATTAATAATATTACAATGTGTAAAACTGGTTTGCATGCCTCTCTGACTGAATGGCACAGTTGGATTAGCACCTTTGCATATTCATTCAGTTAGCCTATAAATTCAACTGATTTCCTGTAGTTTTCACTTGTGTTGGCTTCTGCTGCAGTCCTCTGTCTGCCTCATCATCAGACAGAAAGCACTGTAATGTTTTGCTGTTACTCTCTCCAGGGAGAACAGCTAAGTGCATGTGCACATCTACCCATCCTCTCTCTGTCTTGCAGGGCATGCTGACATTTACTCGATATGGCTATGTTGTTTTCCAGGGGTTTCACATGTGATGTTCGACTTTTGATGTGGTGGAGATGGAGGATGGGCCAGAAAAGGGGTGGGATGAGGGGAAGACAAAGAGATTTACAACAAAAAGATTGATGCAGAAAATGACAGAGAAACCCTTAAACCTGCAGCAGCCTCAATTACTCTTTGACTTTTAGTCTTTTTGAAATCCTAATTAATAAATCAATCAAAAACTCATAATCATGAAAATCCTTTGATCCACTTTTTTTATTTAAATAATAATAATAAATACAAGCACAGTTTCATTAATTTCACATTAATTCTTGTTTAGTCTGTGAATTGTGCACTGGTGCATTTGTCTTATTAATATGTTTGATTGATGTCCATCTAGTAATTTTCTGTTTGAGTGAGAGGGAGAGGTGTGGATGGGGGTTTGATGGGGAAAGGAAGGGGGCTGAGGATGTTTGAGGGTGAAAGAGGGAAGAACATTTTTCATTCAGTGTTCTGTTATCTTACAAGGCGTTTCAAGGACAGGAGCTTCAATGGCTGCAGAGAGGTGAACGCTAGCAA